TTTTTTTAAGACAGGGTTTCACCAAGTTGGTCAGGCTGGTCTTGAACTCCCGACCTCAGGTGATCTGCCTGCCTTGGCCTCCAAAGTGCTTGGATTATAGGCATGAGCCACTATGCCCAGCCGACGGTCTCTTTCTTAGTCAGCTCCTGGGCCCACTTGGTCGGGGCTGGATTGATGGCTCAGGCTTTATTGATTTGAAGCCTGGAGGAGCAGGAACAGGGTAATGATTCTTTGGAGTATTTAGTGGAGGCAGGAACTCAAAGGCCATTGGGGAGCTCCACCTGCCCAGGGAGAGAGGATCTGTTCCCTCCCACGCCCTCTCTCAGGGACATTTTTGAGATGGTTTGTTTGGCTCTTATCACTGAGCTGTCCGACTGCCTGAGGTGACTGAGCCCACTTCCTGCTATAAGACGGCTCCTCCCCTCCTGGCCACACATCTGTAGGCTGACACGCGTCCACCTCCCACACCTTCAGCGCATCAGCTCCAGAGCTTCCATAAGCCCTCCTGTGCTTAGCCTCCTTTCCTGGAACTGGACGGTTTTCAGCCATGCTGCCCGGGTACTCTGGAAACTTTTGTTTTTGGCATGAGCAACTCTCAGGGTCCTCCCTTCCAGTGTGCCTCCTGAAGGGTAGGGCTAGAGGCCTCACTCGGCCTGGCTTGCGAGCTGCCTGGCACTGGAGATGAGGTAGACAGTTGATTTTCCTACCAGCCTAGGCATAAGCAGAGCTTCTGGCTTTCGGGAAAGATGCTGTGTGAGACCCCCCACTCCACTCCGTCAGCTGTCCCAGAACCTCTGCCTGCACTGCTGCCTCTGAACTGTGAGGTCTTCAGTGTCACCCTCAATATCAGGGCCAGTCTTGGGTGGGAGACAGAGGCAGCGGCCCTGGGCATGGTGGGGCTGCTGGGAAAGGTGTCCTCATGATGTGGGCTGGTTTTTCCCTAGCAACCAACAAATGCATGGAAAGACTTCTCTGAACAGTCCTGTGTCCTGCAAAGAGAAACCAGACAGAGTTCAGGAGCCCCCGGACTGCAGGTGAGGATCCTTTTCCCTGTCAAGGATACATCAGACTAGGGGGTGGGAAGCCCTCAGGACATGACCTGTTTGTAAGAGGACCTCAAGGCTGAGCTGGAGCCTCTGTGCAGGTCTGTGAAGTCAGGCACAGGCTGCCTTGGGCTGCTTCCTCCCGCCCCTCAGGCCTGTCCCAGTGCACTGGGACATAGCAGAGTCCATGCTTCTCAGGTTTCCAGCCTTATCCCTGCTCACCTGTGCCTGGGCCAATCCGGCCAGGGCAAAGGTTTACCTTTTTTTTTTCTCAGTGCCATCCCCCTCTCCCAGCGTGGTAGCCTCAGTCAGGTCAGGTGAGTCAGTGCCAAACTCCAAGCAGCAGAGCTCAGGCCACAGGGAGGAGGCAGCAGAGAGGGCAGTCCTGCTGGGATCATGGCCCATGGCCAGGCCCTGGAGCTGTGAGTCTGACACCTTTACCTCATCCACACCCCAAACAGGTCCCCATTCCCGTACTGCCTGCTCCCCTGCTTACCCCTTAGCCACGGAAATGGGACAGGGTCTTTGACGCCGAGGGGGACACCTCCTCAGCATCTCTGGGAGACTGGGCGCACCTCCTGGGGACGCTGCTCACCCACATCAGGGAAGGTGGGCTCTCGGCAACCCCTCCCTGCCTCCGGCAGTGCCCTTCCCTGGGGATGAGCTGTGTAGCTATGTGCTCGCTGTACTTGTCATTTTGCTGTGTCCCCTAGAGAAGGGCCCTAGTCTCCGATCTCTGCCCCAAGCTTCTGGCTCAAGGCCAGGGCAGAATTGGCACTGAGGACGCATGGGCAGGACTGGGGTTCCTTGTCCCCGAAATGGAATGTCTCCTTTGCAGTCTGCACTGCCCAGAAGGCTTGAAGGGTGAAGAGATAAAGAAGTGTGGCCGAGAAGGGGTAAGTGCGGAGGCTGACTTCTCACTGCTCACCCAGGAAAGGGTCCAGGGCTGTCCGAATTCACGACTTTTGGTTCCTTGGCCACTAGGCCTGTCATTAGGAAATCAGGAGACCTGAGTGGGTGTCCCTTCCCGGGTGGGAGTAGTGTGTCCCCCCTCTACTAGTACAAGCTGCCTGTCAGGACCAAGCAGCGCTAGGAGATGAGCTTGCTTGACACTCAGCCCTCTGTGCTCACTGGCTGCTTACTAGCTGCTTTATGCTAAGTCCCTAGCATGGGTCGGGAAGCTGTGGCATTATTTCCTGTTGGCCGGAGCAGGGCCCCTTGGTGGTCTGATTGCACAGGACTTCTCAGATACAGCCTGTATGTTTGCAGATACCACTGAATAAATACAACCAGCAATACCACAAGCTGTTTAAGGATGTACCCTTGGAGGAAGTGGTTCTCAAAGGTAAGCTGTCTCCCCTGGTATAGCAGGTTAGGCACCCTGAGTGCCTGGGGCGAGAGTCCTCTGCTCTGGAGCCTCCAAGGTATGATTTAGAAATGGGAGCTGGCTGTCCTTTAGATATGGACCAATGCCCCAGAAGTGTGAGAAGACTGGGCTGGTTTGGAACATGGCATTGCATTTTTGAAGGTTTGCTTGAGGAAACATCAGGGCTTTGGAATCTTGTGTCTGTTCTGATCTTACCAGTGACTTTGTCCCTGCTCAGGCCTCTCACTGAGCCTGCAGGGGCATTTGCGCAATCGAGGCCCTCGGGCAGAGCAGGGAAAGGCCAGTGCTTCTGCCTGAGTTTGTGAGAATACAGGCTCAGAGAGCAGGGCAGGAACCTTACCTGGACCCTCTGGAGCATGGGTGAATGAAGAAACACCCAGCAGGCTGGTGGGGGGAGGGGCAGTCGGGAGAAGGACACTTTGATGCCGGGGAATGGACCGTTTAGGGTTTGGGCCCCGGAATGTGGAGTCTGAGGAGATGGGTCCTGAGGCTAAACACTGGACCCCCGAGTGTGAGGACCCAGGCCCTGGGCTTCCTGGGCTGACCTTGCTTACGGCCATCTTCTCTCCTGTGACATCACAGTGTGCTCCTGTGCCCTCCAGAGGGACCTCCTTCTTCAGGGCCGGCTCTACATCTCCCCCAACTGGCTCTGCTTCCATGCCAGCCTCTTTGGCAAGGATATCAAGGTAGTAATGAGTGGTAAGGGCTGCCATGACCTGTGAGGGGAGAGCCAGCCTCCCACCCTGCAGCCATGCCTCAGGTCATGCCTGCCCCTCTGCATGCTGGTTGCTCGGTGAAGCCCCTTGCTGGTTGGATGAGCAGCTTCAAGGCATCCCATCAGTGTCCAGGAAAGTAGTCCTATCCCTTCTAAAACAGGAGCCCCAATCTGGACCCCACATCTGGCCTGAGCTGGCCTGAACCGTTCACAGCCAAATCATTCTGCTTCTGGATATCTCAGAAATGCTTTGAGAATCAGAGCGGGATGTCACATTTAGTGGGGAGCCATAGCTGTGGCCAAGTAGTAGCCTAGGGAGCTACATTACTAGAGTCTGAGATTGACCACAGCCACCATCCTTGGCCTCCTGGATAACAGAGATCATACCTATGTGACAGCCCAGAGTGACACAAACTGCCAAGGCTGGGGCAGGGTGGCAGGGTGGAAGGGGAGCCTGGCTGAGAAGGCAGAAGGTTCAGATACTTCCCCACATGGGGCGAGGCTTCGCCATGGTGGCCATGCTGGGCGCATAGCTGGGTTCCTATTCAGGGAGCAAAGGGACCATGTCCTTGGGGTGAGTCCTGTGAGAAGCATCCCTCTCCCTATCAGGTGGTCATTCCTGTGGTGTCTGTGCAAATGATCAAAAAACACAAGCTGGCACGGCTCCTTCCCAACGGACTGGCCATCACCACCAACACCAGCCAGAAGGTCAGTGCACTGGGCCGGCGCTCCCTTGTCAGTCTCCGCCCCCAGACCCGGCAGCCCACAGTCTGACTCAGGCACATTCCCAGGTCTTTATTTCACCCAACCCTGCAGCTCTCCAATGCATATTTCAGGCCCTACAAGCTGGAAGAGAAGTTCCTAGGCAGAGCTCCTGTTGGCTCTCACGGCCTGATACAGCTGTGGGCCTGTGTCCAATCCAAGAGGGGGCCTGCTGGCCCAGCAAGGGGTCTCATCTCACCCCACCCGTCTTTTCTTTCCATGTCCCAGTATATCTTTGTGTCACTGCTGTCCCGGGACAGTGTATATGAGCTGCTGAGGAGAGTCTGCACCCACCTACAGGTATGGAACTTGGGAGCAGGAGGGCCAGGGAGGCTGCTCAGGCCTGGATGCAGGTCTTGGGACAAGGGTGTTGGGGGAAGTCACCCATCTCTCCACCACAGGAAATGGGGCAGGGAGAGGGGAGTTAAAGGCTCAGGCTCAACGTACTAGAGACAGTACTCGGACTGTGTGTCTATGCTTGCAAGCATGTCTTTGAGGCCAGTGGGCCCCCATGTATCCCTATATACAGACACTCTTTGTTCATGATTTATGTACCATGAACCCACCAAAAGCTTGAAAATATAAGTCAAAAATGCATTTAATAGAGGTACATATCACCTACAGAACATTGTTGCTTAGCCCCGCCATGCTCAGAATGCTTTCATTAGCCTAGAGCTGGGCAAAATCATCTCAGACAAAGCCTGTTTTATAATAAAGTGTGAAACACCTCATGTAACATATTGAATCCTGTACTGAATGTGAAAAACAGAATGGTTGTATGGTCCCAGTATTTTGGAAGGCTGAGGTGGGTAGATCGCCTGAGGTCAGGAGTTTGAGACCAGCCTGGCCAACAGTGAAACCCTGTCTTTACTAAAAATACAAAAATTAGCCAGGTGTTGTGGCAGGTGCCTGTGATCCCAGCTACTTGGGAGGCTGAGGCAGGACAATCACTTGAACCCAGGAGGTGGAGGTTGCAGTGACCAGAGATTGCAACACTGCACTCCAGCCTGGGTGACAAGGGCAAGACCATCACAAAATGAAAAATCAAAACAAAACAAAAAACAGAATGTATTTGAAATAGTTTCTACAGAAAGAGTATCACTTTTGTACTATTGTAAAGTTGAAAAATTTTAAGTTGAACCATCATAGGTCAGGGACTATCTATGTGTCCAGGCCTTCATTTGTGCTTCCTTAATGCATGGACAAGAGCGTAGCTGCTTCCCCACATGCCCTACGACTCTCTCTGGCCTATGGTGAGGAAGAGGGGAGCGGTGGTGTAGCACTGGGGAGACCAAGTTGCCTGGAGTTTGCCCCTCTGCTCTAGCATTAAATAGGGGGTCCCCTACAGACCCTGGAAGCTGGACTTTGTGCGGCACAAAGTGGCTTATTTGGAGGTAAAGCTGTCTTGGAGAGGGCTGATGCTTCCCTGTGCCTGACCTTGCCTGCTCCAGATGGACAAGTGACTGCTGCTCCCTTTCCTCCTCAGCCTTCCAGCAAGAAGAGTCTAACCGTAAGAGAATTTCCAGAGGAACCTGAGTCTCTGGTGAGAGCTGAAGCTGGGAGCAAAGACTGCTGGCCTGACAGTGCCTGGAGCTCTGAGACTTCTGGGCCTCCCAGGAGGGGCCCACAATGCAGAACTGGGGCACCGGGCTCAAGAGCCAGTGTCCATGCTGTGCCAGGGCATTTCCTAAACCTGCCACACTATAAGCAGAGCCACCAGGGCCTTAGCAGATAGGCTGACTTTCTTTTTTTGGTTTTTGAGACAGAGTCTTGCTCTGTTGCCTATGCTGCAGTACAGTGCCACCATCTCGGGTCACGGTAACCTCTACCTCTTGGGTTCAAGTGATTCTCCTGCCTCAGCCTCCCACGTAGCTGGGACTACAGGCACTTGCCATCACACCCAGCTAATTTTTATACTTTTAGTAGAGACGGGGTTTCACCATGTTGGCCAGGCCTTCTTGAATTCCTGGCCTCAAGTGATCCACTAGCCTCTGCCTCCCAAAGTGCTGAGATTACAGGTGTGAGCCACCGCGCCCGGCCAATAGGCTGACTTTGAGTAAAACAGAAGTCCAAGTCCCAAAACACTGGCTAGGTTGGGTTGCACACCTGTATGGATGCAGGGCCAGTGGCCCATCCTTTTTACTTTGGCTGAGTCAAGAGGGCCTTCAAGGGGATAAAGATGTCTCTGGGAGCCGAGTGTGCTGGCTCACGCTTGTAATCCCAGCATTTTGGGAGGCCAAAGCAGGAGGATGGCTTGAGCCCAGGAGTTTGAGACCAGCTTGGGCAACATAGCGAGACCCTGTCTCAATACAAATAAATACAAAAATTGGCAGGACGTGTTGGCATGTACAGCCTCCAGGCTACCCAGGAGGCTGAGATGGGAGGATCACTTGAGCCTGGGAGGTTGAGGCTGCAGTGAGCCAAGGTCACAACACTGTATTCCAGCCTGGGCAACAGAGGGAGACCTGTCGAATAAAAGATGTCCCTAGCAAAGAACTCCAAATATCATCCCTCTAGAACCCAGACACTTATTTTAGATTTGCCAAGGTTCCAGAAGTGTCCTGTGGCAGCTGGGGCACTGGGTAGGCAGAGGTGAGTTTCTAGGGCAGGGATGGGGTAGAAATGACCCTAGGGTGTTGGAAGGCTCCTTCAGGAACTATAGTGTTTAGCCAAGCATGTGGTATGCATGCTACCATCTGCCGGATAGAAGGTGATGTTCCCATTTTTGTGGATGGGCACCCTAAGTTCTCCTGCCGAGATTAGGGCTTGGAATGGGAGGAGCCAGAACTTAGGCATGTTGTGCCGAGCTTTCTTGGCCTCAGATCTGAGCATGTGCCTGGGATGGATCACATCTAAGATCCCACTGTAGTTCTATACTAGCAGTGTTCAAAGACATTGTTTCTTGGCAGAACAGCTAGTCACAGCAAGGGAGCAGAGAGGAGAGGCAAATGATTGCTATGGCAACTGCCCTCCCCCCTTGCACCTGTTTCCATCCCTGGCTAGGCATCTGCATTTGGTAGTATCTAGAAAAAGCTCTGATAAACCTGATGTGGGTTCCTTAGGGCAAGTGAGATCCCAAGGGCCAGGGTAAGACAGCTTCTCCTGTCTTTCTGCAGGAAGTCCTCATCCCTGAGATGAAGTGGAGAAAGGTATGCCCTTCCTCCAGGTCCTTGTCTCTCCTGGACAACATGCCTCGTACCCCTCCAGCATCTGTGGACTCCACAGACAGTTTTTTCCCCTCCAGGACGTCTCCAGGGCCTGGTAAGTTCAGAGGGCTTGTCCACGGCAACTACTTACAAAGGCCAGCCTTTGTCTTCTCAGTTCCATAAAAAGGGCTCACCACAGCCAGCAGGGCTTCTGCGAGCTGATTTTTTTCTTTCTCCAAATCTGTATAGAAAAGTCAAGAGCCCAAGTAGCCTCTGAAAATGGCAGGAGGTGGGCATGGCCCATGCCAGGCTGGGGCCCTGCCTGCCCTAAGAAGATGCCGAACTGCTCTCCCATTGCAGAGAATGCTGTCTGTGAGGAAGATGAGCTGGAGGAGGAGACTGGGAGCACTGGGGAGCTGAGGCTCTGGGATTACCGGCTCCTGAAGGTCTTCTTTGTGCTGTAGGTGACAATACTAGGGAGGGGGACAGACCCACCCACGTGTTTAGGTGTTTGGAACAAAGGCCTTGGAATGTGGGGAGTTCACGGTTCAGAACCAGGCGAAGGTTCTGAGTCAAATTCAAGCTCTTGAGTAGTATCTATAGGCCATGTGGCACGCCCTTCTGTAGCAAGAGAAAGGTTCTCCAGTTTTTATTGACACCCTGTAATTTCGGGTTAAGACTGTTCGGTGGAGAGGGGCAGGATATGGAGATGTTGAGAGGAGGAAAAGCTGCATAGGATTTGGGAGAAGGAAGGCCAGCAAAATTGGAGAGAGGGGAAAAGCATGGCCTCTCCACAGCCCACCACTAGGGCAGCTTCTGGAACCTCTGACTTGGCTGCACCTCTAAGGACCAGTAGAGTAGTAAGCATGGTGGGAACCGACATGAACAGCCAGCCCCTGCTTTCCCTCACCTTAGCTCATCAGCCTCCTCTGATCTCTTGGCCGGGTTTTCGCCATTATCAACATTGGCACCTGCTGGGGGAGTGGGCCCGCCGTCTAGGGGGGTCATCATCATGGCCTCCCAGAGGAGGCGCAGAAAGGACCACGTGGCTGGTGAGAGGAAGGGTAGGATGGCTGCTCTGACCGTCTGGCCAGAGCTCCCTCCAGGGCTCAGCTTAAGGGCCCAGAGCTCCAATTGGGCTGTGAGGACGCCTTCATGGGGACGAGTCTCAAGTCCCTTATGGGGGCTCTGGGAAGAAAGATGCTGAGGCCTTAACTGGCCACAGGACAAAGGGTTCTTTAATTCTTCCAACTGCAGGGGTAGCTTGGTTCCCACTATTTCTGGTGAGCTTCCAGAAATACTCTTTCTGTGGAAGAAATACTGAACTCTGTATTGCTTTCTCCAGGGTCTGCATCCTGGCTGTGTCCTCATCTTATCTGGCGTTCCGTATTTCACAGCTAGAGGAGCAGTTATGCTCCTTGAGTTGGGACAGCCCAGTCCCTGGGCACAGGTGAGGCCTTTTCTCTTCCTAATGCCTTTGGGGAGACTGAGGGTTGAGGACAGGGGCCAAGAACCTCAGACCAGGCTGCCTGGCTGGACTTGGTCCTGTTTTGAGCTGGCTTCTGACCCTAAGCAAGGTTGAGCAGCGTGCAGGATACACAGGTCCCATGCTGGCCCACTCTTGGGGGAAATAAAGTTGTCACTGGCCCTTCTGCCCATGTCCATCTGCCTCATGGGCCCTTTCCTTGATCTGGGCATCTTTCTTGTGTGCAGGTAACAGCCACTTGGCCTTTGTCGCCATTCCTTCTCCAAGAAGAATGTGCTGGGTGCTAAGTCTCTACCAATGATCCCTGTGGTTTATGCTGCTGCTGGGCTAAGACTGCGTATGAAGGAAAATATTCCAGAGCCCCCTTCCTCCTCCCAGCTCGTCTCCCTCTGAGAGATCTGAAGTACCTGTTTACAAAGTAACTGGCTTCTATGATTTTTGGACTCAAACAAAAAGCCAGATTTTTTGGAACCAGCTGAGGAATTCTGTACACGAAGCTTCAGCAACCACTTAAAATGAGAAAGAAAAAAAAAAATTAGCTGGCTCCTTGGAAACAGTTCTGGCACACAGGCAAAACACTGGAGGCAACCTCAAGGGACAGAGGCCATGTTTTCATATGTGGAATGTGGCTCTGTCACACAGCTCATTTCTGTGGTGGGGTCAGGGGCCAGAACACAAACCACCTGTGTGGGCTCTGGTCTCCCCCAACACTCTGTGCTCCCACGGGGCTTCTCTGCAGGCAGCCAGGCATCTGTCAGGCTTGGGCAGGGGCCTGCTGAGAAGCCGTAGATGAAGAGGGGAGGGCCAGAGATGATTCCAGCCAGAGATGAACTTCCATGCTATAGGCTGGGGCTCTGTGCTGGCCCCTCATGAGGTGGCTGGCTGCACGATGGGAGATGCTGCCAATGGCAGGAATGGTGGCAGAGGCTGTGAAGAACAGAGGTACCTGACTTCCATGTTCTCAGCTGTCACTTTCTGGTGACACAGATCACTGTGGTCACAGACCTGGTAGTGGGTCTTATGCTTGTGTGTTCAAACATTTCTAAGGTGTCCCAGGCCCTGGAAATAGGGAATGGGGAGGGTGGAGGCTTGGATCTGGGGTCTTGCTGTCTACTCCCTGCCTGCTCGGATCTCAGGTTGGTGTTGGGGAAGAGGTCACTTGTGTCGCCCCCGTAGTCATTGGGTTGCAGGCCATGGAGGAGGAGGGTCCTCCACTCCATGGGGCCTAGTCTCCATTAAGGTAGAAGTATCCACTGTGGGCTTGGTACAGCGCAGGAGCCAGGCCAGGGAGTCTATCTTATACCTCCGGGGACAGGAAAGGTAGGTAGGGGATGAGGAGGTTGGATGCGGTGGTGGTTCTGCCTTGGGGAGTATTCCTCCTCTTTCAGGGCCTTCTCTATTCTAAAAAGTTTCTCTGTGCCCTACACCTCTGGCCAGATCTCCCTGGGACTCCCATCTGCTAAGATAGTGGCTTTGGGGGTTCTAGAAGGGTCTTACAAGGCCAGAAGTATCAGGGAAAGTTGCTGGTGATGGGGTGGGTGGTGTCAGAAACAGCCACTGTTTTCCCCTCTTCAGACACTGAGAGGTTAATCAGGGAACGAAATCCAGGTGGAAACTATTTATTGTGGAGCAGACGATTGTCTGTCCCATTTATGACAAACCCAAATGAGGACTGGAGGGACTCCCAGTAAGTGGTCTCTTCATGCTCTCCCCCTCCCAGTTTTTAGGATGAAACTTAGAGCCTGGCCTTTTGTGTTGCTTGCGCCAAATCCGTATGTCTCAGGGGAAACTCACTGTTCCATGGACGGCCATCCTTTTTATTTGGAACCAGCCCTTTTCACCCTTTCATCAGTCTTTTTTAGGGAAATAACCTTTCTTGCCTCAGTACTTCTCTCTGGTTCTTGCTGAAAGGCAGGGAGAACAAATTCATTCTCTGAGACTTGCTGGGTTGTCAGAGGCCATGAGAGGTGCCAATTATAGGTGGATGTGCCAAGATGCAGGTGAACTTGATCTCCAGCTATACCCAGGCTCAGAAAGGGCAAGGGCCATGCTGCAGGGTAGGTGACTTTGGAGGTGCACTTGGGGCCCAGGGCTGTGAGTGGTGTGGGCGTGCCTGTCCCTCCAGATGGCCCTCTGTTTCTCCCTGTTGTCCCCGTCTGGCCCTCTGGGGCTGCTGTGCCTTCTGCTGTGCACATTTATAAACAATGTGTATTTTATATAGACCTGCTTGCAATGGCTGATGCTCCTTTAATTCCCTGAGTTTGGTTCAGCCACTCTTGGGTTATTTTTGCTATGGCCTTAGCCTTTAAAAATATTTTAAAATAAACTTGATTTTTCTAGTGTATTATGGTATGGAAAGTTCATTTTCATCCTCTGACTACTCACTACAGGTACTCTGACTGACATACTCAGCCCCTAGAAGACTGATGGAACCCAAGTCATTCCCATAATCCCAAGTACTCTGCAAATCTCAAAGGACTTTAGCCAAGCTGACTTATACCTCGGGCGTATGGGGAAGAGTGAGGGTGGCCACAGCAAACCCCCACAGCCTTCTGCCTCGGTTGGGTGGACACCAAGAATACTTACCCATTTCCTCTGAGCAACTCCAAAGCAATGTCCCTGGCGCAAACAGGACTATGCTTCTGATCCAGGAATTAATGTGTGGAGTTCAGAGCCAGAAAGCTTAGGTGGCCTTTTCTATGACCCAGAGCCTAGGTAAAGAGGTAAAATTCCAGTTTGGGCCACATCACCTTCTTTTTCCCTGCGATGCCCCCTCTAGTAGCGATTTGTTCATTCAGTAAATACTGAGCCAAGACTATATGCCAGATGCTAAGGTGGGCACTGGAGATATAGCCATGAACATGGCAGGCATGTCTGCATCCCAGGGAACTTAACTGACATTCCATGTACAGGTAGATTCCAAGTAAATATGGAAACAAAGAAGATAAATGCAGATAGTGATTTTCAAGAAGAAACAGGGACACGATGAAGTGAGAGAAACAGTGGTAAACAAACAGGGAGATGGCTTTAGATGACATGGTCAAGAAAGCTCTCCAAGGTGACAAGCTGGTGCTTGAAGGATGAGAAGTCAGTCATGAGAAGAGCTGGGAACAGCACATTCCTAGAAAAGGGGTCAGCAACTGCAAAAGGTAGGAAAGGGCATGTTTGTCTCTGAGGAGCAGAGAGGCTATCTATCTGCATGTTAGTATCCTAGGATACTAAGTGAGAGAGTAATATGAAAAGAGGTTACAGAGTTCAGTACAACAACAAAACCCGACTGAAAAATGGGCAAAAGGCTGGGCCCAGTGGCTCATGCCTATAATTCCAACACTTCGGGAGGCTGAGGCAGGTGGATCTCTTTGAGCCCAGAAGTTCGAGACCAGCTTGGCCAACATGGTGAAACCGAAACTCTACTAAAAAAAAAACAAATTAGCCAGGCACGGTGGTGCACACCTACAGTCCCAGCTACTCAGGGATTTGAGGTGGGAGGATAGCTTCAACCCAGGAGGCAGAGGTTGCAGTGAGCCAAGATCATGCCACTGTACTCTAGCCTGGGTAACAGAGCAAGACTGTCTTTAAAAAACAAAAAAACCAGGCACAGTGGCTTACGCCTGTAATCCCAGCACTTTGGGAGGCCAAGGCGGGCAGATCACAAGGTCAGGAGTTTGAGACCAGCCTAACATGGTGAAACCCTGTCTCTACTAAAAATATAAAACTTAGCTGGGTGTCGTGGTGGGTGCCTGTAATCCCAGCTACTTGGGAGGCTGAGGCAGGAGAATGGCTTGAACCGGGGAGGCAGAAGTTGCAGTGAACTGAGATCACACCACTGCACTCCAGCCTGGGCGACAGAGTGAGACTCCATCTCAAAAAAAAAAAAAAAAAAAAAAAAAAAAAAAAAAAAAAAGGCACAAAGGATTTGAATAGGTATTTCCCTAAAGATACACAGATGGCCAATAACCAATGAAAAGAGATTCAACGTCACTAATCGTTAGGGAAACGCCAGTCAAAACCACACCACTTTCCACTTGTTAGAATGGCTGCTCTGAAAGAGTAGAAAAGAAACAGAAACAAGTGTTGGTGAAGATATGGGGAATTAGTAACTCTGGGAATGACGTGGGCTGGGCTGGTGAAGATGTGAAGAATTGTGAATTGGTATAACAAGTGTGTAAAACAAGACAGCAGCTACTCAAAAAATTAAAAACAGAATTACCATATGATCCAGCAATTCCACTTCTGAGTATATAGCCAAAAGAACTGAGAGAAAAATCTTGAAATTTTTTCTTTCTTTTTTAAAGACAGGGTCTCACTTTGTCACCCAGACTGAAGTACAGTGGTGTGATCACAGCTCACTGCAGCCTTGACCTCCAGGGCCTAACTTGAAGAAATACTTGAACACACACATTCATAGCAGCATTATACACAATAACCAAAAAGTAGAAGCAACTCAAGTGTCCATCCATGGATGAATAAACATATACATATGTTTATATATTCTATATATGTACATACAGTGAAATATATATGTATATTCATCCATCCATGGATATGTAAATATATATACAATGAAATATTATTCAGCCTTGAGAAGGAAAAAATGTCTGACACATGCTATAACATTGATGAACCTTGTGGACATTAAGCTAAGTGAAATGAGCCAGTCCAAAAAAAAAAAAAAAATTCTGGAATCCAGGCTTGTAAAAATAAAAACAAAACCCCCACAAATACTGGGGAGGGTGCAGTGGCCCGTGCCTGTAATTCCAGCTATGCAGGAGGGAGGATCACTTGAGGCCAGAAGTTTGAGACCAGCCTGGGCAACATAGCTACCCCATCTCTTAAAAAACAAAAACAAATAATGTATGATTCTGCTTATAAGTGGTACGTGGAGCAGTCAAATTTATAGAGACAGAAAGCAGAACGCGGGCTACCAGGGGCCAAGGGAAGGAGGAAATGGACAATTACTGTTTAATGGGTATAGAGTTGCAGTTTTGCAAGATGAAGATTTCTGGAGATTGGTTGCACAATAGTGTAATGTACTTAACACTACAGAACTGTATGCTAAATATGGGTAAGATGGTAAATTTTATGTCATTTTACCATAATTTTTTAAAGTTAAAAGAGGTTGGTGGGGTAGGCAGAAGAGTTTTGATTTTATGTATTCCCTGAGTATGTGAGCTCAGATTGGAAAGTTTGGCAGGGCAGATCAGTGGTTGTTGAAACCAAATGCTTTCTTTTGTTAGAGGAAATAAACACCTGGATATAATACACAGAAAAATACGGCTAATAATCCATAGGCTTTTCAGGGGCATACAGAAACCAATCTAATAAAATTCTTTAAAGTGTGTCCACTCCTCACTATTCCCAGGAACTGATTCGTAGCAGTAGCATCACAGAGAAGGCATTATAATCATATACTTATCATGGCAATGAGCTAACTTTATCAGGGAGAAATAACTATCTTAAATTTGGGGAAACAAGGGAAGTATACATTATGCCAGAACCTCAGTTTTGCAACATGGGCCTTAGCAGAAAGGAAGGGTCATGGTAGGGGCAGGATTGTTACTGGAAAAGGCATTCAGAAATGAGGGGGACTCAGGGACAACTTCATACACTGAGAAGCCCTGGGAATAAGAAACTACCCCCACTCCCACTCCCACTCCCAGGTGCCCAGCCAGCCAGTCATGGCCCCTCGACATGACTACCAGACTGGGTGAGGCCTGGAAGCCCATGGTGCTCTTCTCTCCTAGCTGCTGGGCCACAAAACCAGGGAGTCCTAGAGCAAAGAAAGTTCTCAGAGAAGGATCTCTAGGTTGCCTCAGGACTAGACAGAAAAAGGCCAGATTCTCAAACTCAATCCAAGTCTGGTTGGTTCTCTCTGAGAAGGAAGAGATGACAGCTGAGCCACTAGGTGGCAGCAAAGTCCAGCAAAAAGACCCAGAGGCAGCAGGATGAGTAAGACTATTCTCCCTCAGAGAAAGCTCCCGTGTCCTTGCTTGGGCCCTTCCAGTCCAGCTCACCTACCTATCTAACGGAAGAAGGGATTCTTTGGTAAGCCCTGTGTGGCCATTTCCCCCGAAAAGAACAGCTCAATCTGCTTTGGTCCTCCTCTCCCTCTTCTCTCATCACCTGGGGAAGGGCCAGCACTGATGCTCAAAGGACAGTGTCTCTCCAGACGGCCCCCAGCTCTGGCCAGCAGGAAGGCAGGCATGAAGAACAAACAAGTGTGTGTGTTTCTGTTTCTGGGCTGCAAGGGTGGAGAGCGCAGCTTCTAGGGCATAGAAATCCCAAGTTCTTCTCCAACCTACCCTTGTTTGGAGTAGCATTTTCTCTTGGGCACAGAATTACCAAAATCTGGCTCCTGTGAAGTATGATTTCATGATGGCAACAACACTCTTTCCCGTCCTACTTTTATTTAGAGAGCACAGGACCCCAGAGCAGAGAGTTTTAATGTTTAACGGTTCCATATGCTCTGTCCACTGACAGCGAGAGGGTAGGAGGCATTAAGCCTCTGAAATAATAATCCAGAGAAACCTGAGTTCATCCCCCTGCGTGCCTGACCTCCACAGAGCCAAGGGGCACCTGGCGCCCAGCAGGGCTCTGCATTTGCTGCCGCCTTCGTGCTGGCAGGGCTCCTTGCCTTCCCGGAATGTGTTCCTTCTTGTTTGCCACTCAGTGCTTGGCCCAAAGCCAAACCTGGGCTGCTCGGAATGCCATGCCCCCACTCACTTCTCTCTCAGGATCTGAGACAAGGCTCTCTTCCGCCTGGGGAAAGGCCAGGCCCTCGCCTCAGCCTCATCCCACTGTGCAGCGTCTCTAGGCCATCAGACTCTCCATCGGCTGAAAGCAGAAGCACTTAGGGAGAATACAGCAGGGTCCCCAGCAAAGCAGACATTGTGGCATACTGATATTCTATTGGTGGCCTTCTAAACTGGGCCAGAGTGGGCAAAGAGTTATTTACAAGCTGTTCATTAACTTGCTAAATGCGGAAAGTTTGGGTTGGGCACCACTCTGGGAAAACGTGACACCCCTGCTCCTGGATTCAGTCTAGCATGAAGGCGTGTTAATCGGTGTAGGATTTCTATGGAAGTTCTTCTTTGCTGTTAGTTCCAAATACCAGACTAGTCTGTGTGGCATGCTCTCTTCAGCATATAACTACATTTAAATGGTTTATTAAGCACGTTTTTTGGGCTCCTGAATGTGTACTTCTATAGATACTATGACACTATAATTTTCTGAGCACTTAATTGTGTACCAGGCCCTATATAGGGTGCTTTTAATACCCATTATCTTATTTGACTCTCAATACAAGAGAGTCTGAATATACCAATACAATTTTCACACTTTAC